AAATTGGTGGCTAGGGAAGGCTGATGAAATTTTCGCAAGGAATCAATTGTCAGAGAGCGAAAAAGTGGAAGCTGCTACGGCATGTTGGTGCGGTGAAGCTTGGGAGTGGTTTTTATGGATTAAAAGCTGTCGGCCGATTCGAACTTGGGATGAATTGAAGTGTTTGTTGCGAGATCGATTTGGTAAGAAAGAGGTCTCCATGGTGGAAGAAATTAAGGAGGAGATGTCTAAAATAATGGAGAAGTTCGATTTGATGATGAGAAAAATGGATGGACAAGTAGAGGAAAGGAAGAAAGAGGAACTCGTACTCAATCCGGTGGAAAGCACTGCTGATTCTGAAACTATCTTCAATTCTGAAAATGTGTCGGAATCAGACGAAATTGGGGCTATTTCTGAAAGCCATAAACTGTACAGATTTGAAATTGTATCAGCACCATTACCGACGACTTCAGATGGAGTGTTGGAGGGGAATTTTACCAACTGTGAAACTCCACCCAAGCTGGAGGAAATTGGCGCATGTAATGGTGGCTCGAACCACCAAGATAAACCAGGAAAAGCTGAGCTTGCAGGCCCTAAACTCTTCAAACCTAGAATAAGTGATGAAGAGTGGAAGATGACCGAGAGCTTCTCCATGCGAACCGTGACTGTAGCGGAGAAACCAGCCAAAGCAGCGCCGCCGTTCAAGTGGCTGACGGACGCCGATCCGCAGTCGAGGAAGGAAAGAGAGGTCGCAGAGAACTCACCGAAGCCGATGATTAATTTGGAAATCCCACCAAAAATTGAAGAAATTGAACTGAGCAAAATTGGACGGAATCGCAGGGAGGGCAATTTTCCTTTTGTTAATGGGATGAACTCTATGATATGGGCTGAAGGCAAGATGTTAATGCTTCACGGGTTGGGCCACATGCTGGAGAGGGCCAAAATGGAAAAAGGAAATGAATTCATAAATCAAGCCCTAGGGGAAATGGGCCTAAATAAAGTAAAGATATATGGCCCAACTACTTATTACATCCCTGAAACCCGTCTGGTCATTCTAATTTCAAGCTTCAGTGATAAGAATCCACAGCAAGCAGGTAATTTCTTCAATTCAG